TTAAGGAATGTTGGCATAGTATATATTTTTTCACTTTGTAAAAAAATCTACTCTAATTATATCTATTTATGTGGTGCATTTAAAACATTGATATTTAATGTCAGTAGATAGGTTAATATCTACTATATTTGTTGTTTTCTATTTCTTGTCTTTTTCTTGTTTTTATCCTCAATTCTTTTTCTCCCTATTTTGGTTTTAATTGAGCATTTCACAATTTAATTTTTTCTCCTTAGTATATTAGGTGTTATCCTTCTTTGAGGAGTTTTTGAGGTACCAGGGATAGAACTCAGGACCTTGCACTTGCATGTCAAGTGTAGCACCACTGAGCTAAATCCCTGGCCCTAGGAGTTTTATATATATATATATATATAGTATTTTTTTTAATATTATGATTGGGTTTAGATTTTTTGGCATTTATTCTATTTAGTGTTTTTTTGAGCTTCCTGGATTTGCACTTGAGTGTAATAATAATTTGGAGAAAATTAGATCATAATTGTTTCAAGTTTTTCTCTTGTTCCTTTCTTTCCTCCTCTAGCATTGTTGTTTTATCCACTGTTCTTGGATATTGTGTTTGGATTTTTTTGTCTGTTAGTTGTTTTTAAGACATTTTCTCTGCTTTTCAATTTTAGAGGTTTCTACTGAGACATAACTTAGACATCTTTCCTCAGTTGTGTGAAGTCTATGATAAGGTCATCGAAGACATTCTTCATTTCATTTCTGTTGCATTGGGTTTGTTCTTTGGCTTTTGTTTTTCCTTTGTCTTGTTGTTTTTAATGAGTCAAGGTCTTTCTGCATAGCCCAGGCTAGTCCTGCACTCTTGATCCTTCTGCCTTAGTTTCCTGAGTGTTGGGATTATAGGCATGAGCCAGCATACTCTAGTTTAGTATCTCTTTTAATTTCTTCTTAGACTTGCCATCTCTCTTTTTACATTGCCCCGCCTCTGTGCTTGCTTGAGGGGCTGGAATTGTATATTTTTCTTAAGTTAGATTCAGGTATTACTCAAGTAGGTTAGGCCTGTAGTTAAACAGATTTTTTTTTTTTTTTTTTTTTTTTTTTTTCTGGGGG